GCCGTGCCTGCCAGTTTCTGGTCAGAGTCACTGGCATTGGCAAAAATGTCATCACTTTACAATTCCCCCTTCTCCTCTTCAGCCTTTGTAGGAAATTCTAGATGACTGCGCTGTCTTTTTCTCTTGGCCTCAGTCCAGCTGAAGCTATGAGTTCACTAACGAGGCTCACAGAAGTGTTTTCTGCCTCTTGCCTGCACTCACTGTGCCTGTAGTGCTGGTTGGGGATCCTAAGCCAGAGTGTCCGTCCTGCTGTTTTAGATCTTTTCCTGATCCTCTGAGCCCAGAAAACAGAATTTCACTATCTTATATCCATCATCCAATCAGTATCTAGCTCTCACAGGTAGTTAATCAGGTTGTTGAACTCTGAGGATCAAAGAAGATGATGTATATGAAAGAACTTATAAGTGGGCAAATATGGGGGTGAGCAGAAAGCTGTCTTTAGCCCTTTCCTTTTTTTTTAATAGATATTTCCTCAAGATGATTATTTTTGCTTTCCAAGTCTTTGTTTATTGGTTTTAAGTAAGAATAGTTTATTGGGTTGGGTTGTTTAGAAATTCCACACAAGGTGGTAAGAAAAGCCACATTATAGGATATTAATCAGTAAAGAAGGGGAAGGGGAGAGGAAAAGGTTTAAAAAAAAATAAAAGCAGTACCCCTCCTGGGCAGTCTGAGAAATTCCACTGTGCTTCCTTGGCAACTACCGTCACAAGATTTCTCATAAGGGTTAGCTAGTTTTACTACAAAAAGTAAAAACTAGAAGAAAAATCACATGCCTGCTCCCATGTTCTCATGGGAAAACTGTTATAAAGGCAGAAACTAAAGCACATCAGCAATTAATGGCACCAGTGGGAGAAGCCGCTCCAGAGGTCAAGACGTTCCCTCCTAGTTGGGTGGATCTTGACTGGAGGACATTGAGGGCCCCTGGTCCTAATCACCTCAGACATCTCAAGTTTCGTATTCTCATGACTTTCCACTGCTTATTTGAGAATATAGTGAACAAAAAACTTGTTAAAAGTCTTTTAAAAAAGTTTTATTTATATTCATTTACTATTTTCTTTTGTCAGAGTGGATGATTACTAACTCCCGAGTGGTGGTCTCAGCGCAGGGAGTGGGACCTGGTGCGTTTGGCCGCTCTCTGGGAAACATGGGTTTCCTCTGGCACAGAGGTAAGTGGCTGAGTCTCTTGACTGAGTGGTCTTGATGTGCAGGGACTGGTGGAGCTGGGACTAACATGGAAAGAGGCTGCTAATCATCCTTTGTGCTCCAAAGCGCTATTTAACCAGAACATAAACAAAGGCACGAGGTTTATTATAGATCTGTTCCATCCTGTGCCCATGGATCTGAAACACTGTTCAAATAATTATAGTAGATAGTAAAATTCTCTCCTTCTTGGGTGGTCAGTTAGGAAGAACTTTCCCCTTTCTTCATCTGATGGTTAATTTTCTTAAAATGATAATGTTAAAAGGTGGATTTAAAAAATTCATTTGGAGGGCCGGCCCTGTGGTGTAGAGGTTAAGTTCCGCACGCTCTGCTTCAGCGGCCTGGGTTTGCGAATTAGGATCCTGGGTGCAGACTTACACCACTCATCAGCCATGCTGTGGTGGCAACCCGCATATATAGTGGAGAAAGACTGACACAGATGTTAGCTGAGGGCTAATCTTCCTCAAGCAAAAAAGAGAAGATTGGCAACAGATGTTAGCTCAGGGCTAATCTTCCTCAGCAAATAAATAAATAAATAAATAATTCATTTGCTCTTTGAGTCACCTCTATAAAAGATAAAGCCTAGTTCTCAGAATTTTCTGGATCCTCTGGGTTCCTGATGACATAAATTCTCTCAGCTCACATCATGGATGAAGGTGCCAGATGATAAGTGTGGTTTCTAGAAGCTACTCCATGCTTTGGCTTCTCAAGCCCATGGAGGATTTGATTCTGGAATGTAGAAATCTGACCTAGACTCTTCAGATAAGGGAGGGTGTGCTCTAGTTCTTTTGTATGTATTAGGAACATAGATTTTTGAACATGAGACAGGCTTCTGCAAACAACTATTGTCAATGGATGCAAGCAGTGCCCTCTTCAGTTCAAAGAAATAATTACTGAGGTAATTCTTAGGATCTACTCCTCTACACAGAAATAACTTGGTTTAGTAAAGAAATCTGTTCTCGAAGTAATCTGTTTATATGAGTTTCTGGTTTCTATTTACACTCAATGAAGAGACCTTGACATTTAAAATGTACCATAGTCTTCCCTTTATTATAGCTTTTAAAAATTCTACCTTTTATCATGTCTTACCTTCTCAAAGAAACCTTCTACAACTATGTTAGAGCAAACTGAGTCTTCCCCTTATATTCTTTCATGAACATTCGATGATTATAACACAAATTTTAAACTTAATCTCTGGGCTTTATGAAGTACCTATTATGTGCCTGGCACTGTGCCAAGAGCACTGAAGAATGCTGAAGTATGCAAGTCTGAGTTCTGTCCTCATGGAGACTGTAAAGGTCAGTACCTTGAAACAATAGCAAATGCTTTAAGAAGCTAAATCACTGAGTCAAATTTCTTGGTTCAGATTCAGCTCTCTACAAGGAATTCAAGGATTTTCTGTTAGAGAAGAATCCTTGGAGGAGACAGAGCTGTAAGGTGTGCTTATAGGACTGATACGATTTGACCAGCCTAAAATATGCATAAAAGGGAAATTTGGGTGAGTGGAACAACCCAAAAAGAAATTCAAGAGCTTGAAGTGCTTATGGGTCAGTAAGGAGAATAGACTGACTGGAATAGAGGTATATTTGGGGAAGAAGCAGAAATGAGGTTTAAGTAATAGAGAGTGAGCAGATTCAGGGATGGGGATAATGATAAAAGAGTTTAGATTTGGTAAGTAAAGTTTTTGTGCAGTGAAAAGACATGATCACACATCTTCAGAGACTAGAGTTTTGTAAATGTGATCTGTTTCACCTTCTTTTGAAAAAATAAGGTGACACCTTCTATTTTTCCAATTAATCACTCAACTACCACCTGCCCTTATTAGCTTTCAGCCCATAAGGTCCACCTTGAATGCTCTTCTGTCCTTTTTCTATTAAATTTTCAAAGAATCTCTATTTTAATTTTGCTTTCCCCCCAAATAGAGCCTGAAGCAAGGACTCAGGTGAAGGTAGTTTATTTAGGAAGCAGTCTTAGGAAGCAGGAGTGAGAAAGCAGATAGCGGGGAGATTGGGGCTTGATTCTGCCAGGATTTCTGAGAAGCATACAGGATGCCCCTCAGGATTGTCCACTGGAAGGCAGGAAGCTAGTTCATTCATCGGTCCTCTTTCCCCCCTGGTTGGTGCTTGCCAGCAGGAGTGGTAATCCCTGTATACTTTCAGGCGGTGCTTGCCCGTGGGCTGAGTGAGCTCCTGAGGAGTCAGAGAAGGCCCTGGGGGAAGAAGTGAAAAATACACAGTGCGTGCTTAATGTTGGATGTTATCAGCTTGAGATGAGTCGAGTGTCCACAGAATTGTCTACCATAGCTATTGATAAAATCAGAGCCAGGCATTGGACGTGACAACAAGGCACATGAGATATTTGTTACAGTGCTCCCTTTGCACTACTCAGATGTGTGCTTGCCCTGCATTATTTTCACTGTGTCACAGAGCCTTCAAGGCTGTGGCTGGCTGAAATTGATCTAAAACGCTTAATACAGGAGGGCTGCATGACATGAGTTTCAGGACTCACTTCTTTAACTGGTACCATGGCTACTATAATCGATACTGATCTTCTCTCACCTCTGCCATACTCTCCAGATTCCTTACCATTGGATAACACTTTAGTAGACCTAAGTTGCTTGCCTGATGGGGTGACCTAGACCTTCATTGCTGAGGGGTCTCAGTTCTTGGTCACTTTGTCATTTTTAGGCCTTATTTCCACAACTGCCATTTGCTATTTTTATTGGGCACAAAAATACCCAAAGTGAAACACTTAAATTCCAAACATATTCCTCCTTGCCCTCATTGTGTAATAACAATCTGGTGCTTCATGATAATCAGGATCAATTACCTCTCCAAGTCTAATTACTCCTTTCTTTGCCTGCTGGACCACTGGCACAAGGAATTCAAAATGACCTAGGTGTCAGTCATAGCTGCAAGTTCACTGGAACCTTTACTGAATCCTCTGCCGGAAGCATTCTTCCTCTGGGAACTAGGACCTCTAATTCAGCAGAGCCTAGGGTTGTGGGAAAGGGAAATACAAATTCTGAAAATGCGTTAGAGAAAGTGATAGGAGAAGAGTCTATTTTACATCCATTTCTTAGTTTCTGAACTTATGTATTTTAGCTGGGGTGCCACAGCACTACATATCAGCCATTGGTTTAATGAATAGTATCGTTTCCTGGAGTTTAGCACTCCAACTACTAAGGATGTTGCCCCTGAGTTGGATTCTTATCTGAGCCTTTAACAGGCCAGATACATCATTGCATCATTCTTGTATGTCAGCTGACCCAGGTACCATGAACCTAGGTCATCTTTTAGGTCCGTGGTAGGACCAGGGGAGCCCCTCCCCAGTTACGCCCCATTATCATACCTGTTGTGTTCTAAAATGGGTACCTCGTTCTGAGGAGATTCAGTTTTAGACATGGATAGACAAATAAAAGAACAAGCACCAATTAACAAAATGGAAAAGCTTAAGATTTTTGAAGGTATGAGTTCCCAGGAAAATTATAAAGATTTGCTGGACAGAGGAAATGCTTAGGAAGTCTGACCTGTCATATGTGCCACACAAAGCTAGTAGGGTTACATGTGATAGCATGTATGAAGATGTTCTGTAAACTGGAAAGCCCTACACATGTCATTATTTTAAGGATTATACTTGCAGACACCCGTCTCTCTATTTCTTATATTCAGAGAGGAAGAGCTTTTATTCCCCAGAGAAGTCAATAATTTCCTCTGTTCCTCTTACCCCAACCACTTCCCCCCACCACTGTGCAGAAGCTGAGGTCTGAGGTTTCTATAAGCCTCTCCCTGTTGCTTGTTTCACTGTGCCCTCATGAGAGCACAGAAGTACATCACAGCATCCTCCAGCTGGGAGTCTGAGATCCTGAGACCGAAGAATTTGTTTGCTTTCTGGAAGTTCACAGAGAACCGATTATTCATTGCATTCTCTTCCTTATAAGCTTGTTGGCGAATAATGAAAATCATCTCCCCACTGGGGGGCTGTTTGTACCAGAACAAATAATAATCACTCTCAGTAGTGTCATACGTGCAGTCCAGGGTCACAGTCGCTGCCTCCTGCACAGACATTTCTGGTAGAGGCTGAGTGACCGTCTGGGCTGTGCTGGATCCTGCGAGAAAGAGAAGAGGAAGGACTGCACTGGAGTATCACACCAGAGAGATAAAGTGGGACTCACAAGCCAGTTCCCATTCCCACCCACCTTTCTCCTTCTTGATCCAAACCCCAGGCAGAACATATTAACTTCTCCCTCCCCATAGCTGAGCCTTATGTGAAAATGCAGTTTCTGTGCATCAATCTTCTCTCTTGTTTCACAGCCCCATTAGAAAACATTATAAATAAAGACTGTCACCTTCCTTACCAAGACAGGTGGAGACCACAACTGCCCACAGCAAGCTAACAAGTGTCATGCTGGTAGCTCTCCCCTGCGGGGCAAGAAGTCTCTTGCTCTGATTTGGGTTCTCTTCTGTGCTCCATGAGGCTTCTGCTTCAGAGCAGGAAATGATATGACAGGTGGGTGGGTGACTATGTCTCATTGAGGAAAGTTTTTACAGTACTTTTTGTTTTTCAGAAAACAGGTCTTTGGTTATAATTTCAAACGAAAGTGAAAAATGTTTTCTGAGTTCTTTTATTCTAGGATGAAAATAAAGAGGAAAGGAAACTGGCAAATTTATTCTGATAAGACCTAATCTTGGAGAGAAAAATGGGACCTGGAAGCGTGAGCAGAAGTGGCAGGGTTTTATTCACAACAACGACAAACTACAATTTTCTTTTCCTTTTTAAACAAAAATGACAAAGCAAGTGTGATAAACACACAAATTAATTATGGGTGATAAGAATATACCTGTTATATTAATATATTAAATTTTTTATATTTTTACAATTTCCCAAAATAATGAGAAAAAAGATATATGTTTCTGACTGAGAAGAGCAGTGACTAAACTCAGAGATAAGTGGAAGCAAAACACGTGGTGTCTAATTGTGCTTGTCTTTTCCATGGATACTGTTTTTTTTTTTTTCCTTTAAGAATATTTTTATTTATTTATTTATTTATTTTATTTATTTTTTTAAATTTTTTGTTTATTGCAGTAACATTGGTTTATAACATTGTAAAAATTTCAGGTGTACATCATTGTACTTCTATTTCTGCATAGATTACATCATGTTCACCACCAAAATACTAATTACAACCCATCACCACACATATAAGACCTGGATACTGTTTTTTAATAAGAACTTGTTTGTGCTCTATCAAGGAGTTCTGGAATAACTATTGTGGCAGTTCTCATCAGCACTAAATTGCCTCAAACAACGCATATTAAGAGTTGATCTCATCACTCTCATTCAACTTTGAGAAAATATTGTGAACAAGGAAATTATAAAAAACCGTACTATAATTTGCTAGAATTTTAATTTCCAGCCTGAGAGACAGGGATACTTATGAAAGTTCAGAGTTCGAGTCCCCAAGCCGGGCGTACGAATGGGGCCCTGTTCCATCCCGGTGCTGTCTGAGGAGCACGAGTTCTCTGTACCTCAGAGGCAGGCGGCTGAGTCTCCCCACTCAGAGAGATGCTCAAGGAGTGGTGAGGATTGGGCCCAGCCCCGAATGTGACTGGTAAAATCCCTTGTGCTCCAAAAGCCAGTCATGGGTTTTCCCAAGTCTTGAGTCTTCCCAGCAATGGAAGAAGGAGCACTGGGCTTTCTTCTAGATCATCCTCATCCTTGTCTCATGATTTGAATTCCTATATCCTGGTTTTGGATCCCCAAATGTCAGCTCCAATACGAGGATTTGTGTGTAAGCAGTTTATTTGCAGGAGATTCTAGGAAGCTGATAGGAAGTGAATTAGGGAAGGGAAGGAAGCCAATACAGGGTGTTGTCATCAAGCCAGTTACTACTATGAGCAATTGGAACTTAATCCAGCTGGGAGATAGGATAGCATAGTCTTTTGAGTTAGCCCAAATGAGGCATAAAGGAACAGGAGTAATCCATAAACCCATTGTTTCGCACCGATTGAGGGCTTCTATGGGGGCATTAACTCTCTGGCACATCTGACTTGCCCTGCACACTGGCCACGTGTGCTAGGTATTTCAATATGTAGAGGTCAAGGGGATGTGAGTGGAACACCAACAGATTCTATACAGCCCACCCCTTGAACTACTGAGATCCATTTATGCTCTATGTTAAATCCATTCAGATCACTAGTTCTTTTTTTTAACAAAAAAGAAAGATCAACAGCACGACTAGTAGGACACATTACAATTGCTACTATTGATTCCATGGCTATAATTCATATTTATTATCTCCCTCCATCTACCTCCTCCACCACTCATTCCTGATTCTCCTCACCTTTGACTAATACTTCTGCTGGTCTAGAATTGTATCTCTGTGAGGTAACCTAGACCATCATCCCTGGAGTCTAAGCACCTGGTTATTCTGCTTTTGTCAGTCCACAGTCACTACAACTGCCTGTTTACTGTAATCCCTGTCATAAAGCGCTAAAAGTCATCCTGACGAGTCTCCTGAGTTTTAGCCATATTTTTCCAGCTCCCATTGGGTAGCAATGACTCTATATCCTCATGATAATCAAGGGCATTTGCCCCTACCAGTGTAGTAGCTCCTTCCTTGGCCTTCTGGTCTTTGGGCATGAGGATTTCCAAATGACCAGGTGGTATAAGTAACTTTAGGTTTGGTGAAAACCTTTCTGTTTCTCTAGTAGAAGTATTCTCCTCTCCTTTCCCTTCAAAGAGAAACAGGACCTCTAGTCCAGAAGAACCTAGAGCTATGAGAACAAGAACACACAATACCCAAGTGAGTCACTGAAAGTCAGAGTTGATGGAGAGATAGTCCTACTTCTTAGAGATAGAGCGCTATCTCTAAGCTGGTGCTTTAGCTGAACCTTTAAGCATTTAAGCCTTCAATGTTCTATTAGGCTAGTGGTTTGTGGATAATGCTATATGTAGTAGGATCAGTATACCTGGTGGTCTCATGTCCATTGTCACACCTCCTTGCTATAAAGTGAGGCTGTTGATGCAAAGAGATGTGAAATCCCCTGATGATCATGACAAGCAATCAGACATTCTGAGACCCAGTTCATGCTGCTATGTGTGGCACTGCGGAAGGGAAGGAAACTCAGACCCAGAGTATGTCTTAACTCCAATAAGAAAAGATTTCTGCCTCCTCCAGGGTAGAAGTGGTCCAACACAATCAACTCGCCAACAAGTGGCTGACTGGTCTCTTTGAGGGGTGATTCCACACTGAAAGCTCAGTGTTGTGTCTGCTGCTGACAGGTTGGCTATTGGCAGCAGAAGTAGCTAAATCCAACTTGGTGAGAGAAAACCCACACTTCTGGGCTCATGGCGAACCTCTATTTTGTCACCTTGGATAATCTGTTCATGGGTCTATTGTTTCAGCACTGACATGGACGAGGACAGCAGCTGGTGACATCCTTTGGATGGAGCATCTTGTCCACGTGGTCGCTCAGTGCTTCCTTGAGGTGGATGCTCTCGGGTGGGTACTGACATGGGCCACAATGATCCGAACACTTTGTGCCTGCACTCTCTGCCCCTTCAGTTCACAGTCACCCCTAAATGTGACTCACCACCTCCCACCCACCTGCTCAGGGTTCTAAGCCTAGAAAAGAGAAGGATGCTGTGCACTTTTCAAACACCCACTACTTATACTCTGGTCATATCCCTTTTGACTTTTCTCCCACTGGCTGGTTGAATTTTATCCTCTTTTAAGAAGAATCAAATTTTCCATCATTTTATGTTCTCTTTTCACTCTGTCCTTCAGAAATTTTATACCATTTTCCCTCAGGTTTTTGTATTTGATCTTCTAAGCCAGTCTTTTCGGAATGTAAAAATATATTTTCTTTCACTACTGAATTTGATGGTTATGGCTTTTAAGACTGTATTTTTGATATATTTATAAAAGTCTACAGAGGAGCTCAAAGGCAAGAATTTTACTGTGTTCTCTCTTTGTTCTTTGGTGCTCTCTCCTTTCTCATGTTAAGCCTCAAGGTTTTGGACTAGTTTTTTAACAGAGCAAGGACTTCACACCCAGAAACAAAATACATTAGATGGTGTTTGGAAACATTCCCTCTGCACTTGGTCTTCAAATGAAATATGTGACGTTATGTTATAAAAAGCCCCTCGTGTTTCCCTTTGCTTAGAGTGAAGTCAGCCCTGGAGCCCTTCTAGAAGGAGGTGCAGGGCCGGGCAGGGTTTGGGCACGGGCCGCAGGTGCACGAGCCGCACTGTGCTCACTGCACACAAGAACGTGGTTGAGTCCCGGAGCCCGGAATCCTCCACGTGCAGGGAAAAGTGCCGGCCCTCTTTGTCTAGCCCGCTTGTGAATCTTCCGCTGAACTTCTCTTTCTCATTTGAACGCATTTGTATCAGAGAGCTGAGGCCTTCCCCAGGATCCTGCCCAAACCATTGGAAGAAATCGGGATAGCTGCCTTTGTAACTGCAGTTCAGTGTGAAGCTCTCGCCTTCCTTGATTTTCAGGGACGGAGGGCTCTGTTCCACCGGCCTTGTTTTTGCGTTTGACCCTGTTCAGGAGGAGGGAAAAGATTTTCATTCATAAGAAACTGGTATTTGGGTTAGTTGATTGTTTTAAGAATTTTCCTTATTTGTTTTACATTCCTTAGAATAAACTCTATATTGTTCCTGGGGACCCGATAGAATTAATCGCCAGAGTTGCCCCATTTCCCTCCCCGGCCCTTCCCCTCACCCTCACTCACAAGTTAGCTGCACACACAGGAGCATCACTGAACCCCGCAGGAGAGTCTCCATTCTTGTTCTTCCTGGAGTCTCTGAAGATTCAGTTCGGAGGCTTGGAACTGACCATGTTCAATGGGCTTAGTTCACTGTTCTAGATCTTCTGCTTCTTTTGTTTTGGAAGCCTTGGTGATCTTCATTCTGTTTTCACAACCAATCAAACTCTCACTTGTCACAGTAAACACATCATTGAACATGCTCTTTCCTGTTGCTCACTTCGCATAGTTCTGGTTTGCAGCCCCTCATTTCCGTTAGCGAAAGCACTGCCCCCGTGTGGTCTAAAACGTTTTATTAATTTTTTTTTTATTTTCCCTCTTGATACAAAGAAATTCAATATATTAAATTAAAGGAAGATGGAACATACAGAGAGGCAAAAAGCAAACAAAAAAGAAAGAAAACAAAACACAGTGTCAACATGTTCTCCAGTGATGACTGTCTGAATAGCCTTAGTTCCTGGAACTCCCTTCCTTCCTTTTCTCACAGTTAGTGGAAACCTATGCAGGTTCTTTGCCTGTTCCACTCTGTACTACATTCTGAGAAGTATAAATAAAAGGTTGAGAGAAGACCTGATTCTTTCCCTCAATTGTTTATGGTCTACCATGGGTTTGTTAGATCTCTCAATCTGAACAGTTTTAAATCAGTTAAAAGAGTTAGACCTTTTCCAACTTCACTCTAAAAATATAAAGGAGATAAATATAATATCCTTTCTTTTAATATGTTCTCAGATATGAGAAAGAAACCTGGTGTCTGGCTAACTCTGAAAATGCTGGTGCTTTTGCAAAAATCTAAGTGTTTCTTATATTTAGGTCTGGGCACCTGTGCAAACAGGTAATTTGTCATATTTTGCATACTATTTATATGAAACCCTGTTTTATGATCTCCTATATTTACAGCAAGATTTAGGGACTCAAGAAGAGGAGACATTAAGGAAGAAAGTTCTTTTGTATTCTTTGCAACCAGTCCTCGCCCTGCGAATTTTTGGAACCTATTGCTTAACCACATTTTCTCAGCTACATTCCCTGGATAGAGCCCTGGCCCTAGCAAACCTATCTCCATCCTTCTCTTCCTTCATTTCTAATTGTGGGCCTGGGGTAAGGGGCAGAGAGTCTGTGATGTGTAAAGAGCTGTGATATTCTTTGACATTAATTGTGGATATTAGTCTTCCATTATTCTTCATGTATGAAATTATGTAAGTAGGGAGACTGTTTCTTCTAGCATTTTTCCTGAAGCATGGTGTAATTGTACTTCAGTTTGGAGTTAGCTCCCTCCTGGAGTGCAGGGTCTGAGGTGAACTATACTCTGCCTTTCCCTGTCCTCTCATTTCTGCTTGAGAAGAAAGCAGCAGACACATGGGGTGGTCACTGGAGAATCTGGCTCTTTGTAAATTGGTATGCTTTCCCGGGAGCATAATAGTTTTTTTCCCTAGCCAGGGCGCTGTCAAATCACATCAAGTCTGGAACCACAGAAATACCAGCAAAACTTCTAGGTGTCTTCTTAAGCTTTTCTCTCTACTAATTAGGACACTCACCAGGAATGTTCTCAAAGAAGGGAATTTTAGTCTGGGAAGAATAGAAGGAGTTGTTCCAGTTGTTTGGAAGAACTAACATTTACGTGAGTTTCTCTTGGAGTTTTCTTCTTTCCTGTCTCAGGTATGGCGATTTCAACATTCCAGGTAAGTACCAGCAGGAATGTATCTAGTTAAAGGTGATTAATGATTTTGTTGAGCAATGATAGACAGGGGTTGTGGCAGGTCAACACTAAATGTTGAATGTCTGTGCCTAAAATTCATTCAACTTGACCCTGTGAGGATGTTTAATAAAATGTGCAAAATAGAATATGCTAATTATACAGCTGGAGAGACTAGAAAAACACACACAAAGTTAACTAACTCTAGGGGGCAGTGCACAATGGGCATCAGCACTCACTACAATAGAAACCAAGTACGGGAGCCAAGTCTCTGCAGTGAAGAGTGAGAAGCTTAATAACTGGCATAAGAGTTAAGAAGAAAAATCATATAATCATCCCCACTGATGCAGAAAAGACATGTGACAAAATACAACACACATTCATGTTAAAAACACTAAAAGAATAGGAATTAATAACCAATTCCTTAGCATAAAAAAAGCATATGCTGCAATCCGAAACTAGCACCTACTTATGGGGAAATGCTAGAAGCTTTCCTATGAAAGTTAAGGGAAGGACAAAGATGTCCACTACCTTTAGCGCTATTTCACATTGTGTGGGAACTACTAGATAATGGCACTTGGCCCAGAGAAAAACAATTAAAAGCATAAGAATTGGAAAGAAAGAGGTAAAATATCATCTTCATGTCTGCAGATGAAGTGATTATATATCAGAAAACTAAAAGAGAAGAAAAAACAATACCAAAAGACAGGTTATAACATAAACAATTTAAAAACAGCATTCATATCATTCATGTGCAAAAACAAAAAACAGTTAAAAGAAAATGTGGAAGAAAAGAGCACATTTTCTATTGCATAAAAGTAAAAAGGAGGAGAAAGGACAGAAAATTCCAGAGTACAAATTAAGACCAGGCAGATGGGTCAATTAAATGCAATAGCAAATCAATAATTAGGCCCAATTATATATGGAAATTTAGTATATGATAAAGACAGCATCTCAAATCATTGGGGGAAATGACTTCTCAGTAAGTTTGTTGTAGTAACATGCATGTCTTCTAGATATGAGGTGGCAAATGTGACCGTAATAGTGTCCCATTTTAGACCAGCAGTCTTCAGACTGGGATTCCTGTACTCTTGGAGTTATATGAAGACTTTCCAAGGGGTATGCAGGCATAGATTATTCTAATGGAATCCAGTTATATATATATGAATTAGGATTTTTTTTTCCCAAAACTTGTCTGCTCTAGAATACACCTGAGATCCAGATGTCATGCTGCTGCTTCTTTCCCATTTCCCTTTCCACACTTACCCTTCCCACACAATTAAAAAAAAATTGTGTACATCTCAACCATTCTGAATCTTACTATAGTGCATTGCTGCAGGGTGTTAAAATCTCCAAGGTATCAAACAAGAAGACAATTAATTGGCTCCTGGCTTCTGAGGGAGAGTCCTTAATAGCTAAGCAAGAAATGTTGCAAGACGGGGATGTATTTCAACTAGGTGACAAGCTCCCCTTGCCTCTATCTGTCTGTCTGTCTGTCGGTCTATCTATCTATCTATCATATATCTATCATCTATTGTCTTAGAATTTGAATTCAGAAATGAGTTGGTTGTCACTGGAACCCATCACATACATCATTATTTGAATTGAAATAACAACAATAAACAAGCACATAGGGACAGAGATTGGATTGGTGGTTACCAGAGGGGACGGGGGGAGGGAGGAGGGTGAAAGGGATAATTCGGTACATGTGTGTGGTGATGGTAATTAGTATTTTGTAGATTTGTAATTAGTATTTTGGTGGTGAACATGATGTAATCTATGCAGAAATAGAAGTATAATGATGTACACCTGAAATTTTTACAATGTTATAAACCAATGTTACTGCAGTAAACAAAAAATTAAAAAAAAAAAAAAAAGAAAAGTGAAGTCAGACTTTTTCTGACAGAAAATAAATCTTACGTGGCCAGTTTGTTTGACAATGTGGGATATAGGAGGAAGAGAAGAGTTAAAGAAGACTCCAAGATTTTTGGTTTTAGTAACTAGGTGAATTATATTGCCGTTTTTTTTTTTTTTTTTTTGAGATGGAGAAGAGTGAGGGAAGAACCCGTGGGAGGGAATCAGGCATTAGGTTTTGGACATGTTAAATATTAGATGCCAACTAGACATCCACTGTAGATGTTACATAGATCATAATATATATGAGCCTGGCTTTCAATGGAGAGGGCTGGAATGGAGAAGTAAATTTATGAGTCATCAATGTATAAATTGTGATTAAAGCCATATTCCTAGATGAGATTGTAGGGGAGGTAAAGCTTACTTCTTCCTTCTTAGAGTCTCCAGGGGGCCTGAGAATTAAGTTAATACAAAACAGATTAACAGGAGTAAAGCATACAGATTTTATTTAATAATTTTTACATGTACATGGGAGCCCTCATGGGAAAATGAAGACTCAAAGAAGGGAGTGGGCCTAAGTGCTTATATGTTCGGTTGAACAGAGTAGCAGTTGTGAAAAAGTAGCTAAAACATATGGGTAGATTAAAGGAAGGTAAGAGTTACTTTAACAAGGACTGTTTGCACAGACTTCTTTCAGCCTCAACTCCCATCTCTGGTGGTAAGAATGTTTCTTTTCTGGTAGAGGGAGAGCCTTTTTCATCTGAGAGTTTCATCTCCTGCTTTCAGGAAGAAGAAGTGGGGGTCAGAGTGTCCTTGCGCCTGCTGTTTTTCAAGTGCCTTCAGCTCAAAATAATCAATATGCCTAAGTGGCGTATTTTGGGATGACATGTCCTGACCGCCTTCACGATCATTTGCAGAGAAAGAATGTGGACGGAGAATATATTTGAGGACTGAACCCTGAGACAACACGATATTTTGGAAATTGAGAGTGAATGTCGAGTGGTAACCGGCTTAGCCAACTGAAGAGAATTGAATCCTAAGAGCCCACAGAGGGAAATGCCCACAAAAATCCAGGTGCCTGGAGAGTCTCAAGAATTAGGGCACTTGATACCTTAGAAGTCAGAATGAAGAGCTGGGGTAAGGGGACTTTTAACAGAATGTATCAAGTATAAAGTACGATGGTATAAAGCACAGTTATACTCTCAGATCTCCCATCCTGACCTAGAAAAGTCAGGTGTCCACTCCTTCCCAAGCGCTTTCATGGGGAAAAAAGCCTATTTTTCTGAAGATGTTAAATAAAGGGGCATAGGAGTCTGGGATACCAGGCTCAGTTGAGAGTGAAATGAGACAAGTACTTAAAAACAGAGGAACCAGAACCATCTTCCTTTAGCTCAAATCCCAGATTAAATCCCACTAAGTATGAATGAGCATCTGGGATCACTAGACATTTGAAAAATTTACCTTAACATAAAAGACAGAGACAAAAACAAAAAGAGAAAAGGACCCCGAGAGAGACGATGCGAGAAGAAGGAGGTCACCGTTGCTTATTAACACAGTGGTGTGAACATTCCGACTTCTTTAAACAAGCAAAAATTGATCTGGCAA